AAATATCTGTTCACTAGTGTAAAATATCTGTTCAACCGATCACCAGAAGATCTGTTAAACAGACCTAACACTAAAGTGAACTAAAAAAGAAATATTTAATTGGATACTTTCTCATTTTTATGTTTTAGTTACATTAAGTTATCTAATTCTATGGACAAACTCTGTTGTTTTCATTTTTCATTGCCTTATTGTATTATTTCTTTTCTTCTACTAGACAATACATTTATTGATGTACGACGTATAATCCTCTGATTGTCACATAAGTTCTATTGTAATAAACATTTATTTCTTCTAGTCAAGCTAGTATTGTTACTGTTGTTCATATGCTTCATATTCTCATAGTTCTTAATTATTGTATTCAAAATCTTATAAATTATTAACGTTATATATTCATATATTTACATAATCTTAATTATCATTTATATTATGTATTTTATTATACAATCTTAAAGATCTCATATATTGCCAATAATATTCAATATATATTAGGTAACATTATAGCTATATTAGAATTTCATTATATTAAAATTGTTAGAAACAAATGTACAAATGTAAAAATTATATACTTAACATTAATGGCAACAACCGATAGATGTAGCCGTCTTGTCTGACCAGATTGTAATGATTGGTTAATAAACTCTAAACTCTATTAAAAAATATCATGAAAATATTTTATTCCGTGATACAGACCCCTTTTTATTGAATTATTAACATCCGCCTTATTAACATCGGAAACCTAAAACTATTTTATTTACGAAAACTCTTGGAATTGGGGTATTTCAATCTGGACGGGGGCAAGTGTTGTCTATTTAGTTACGTATTAAAATTCGTAAATAAACATCTACTTTCTACTTGGATCGTAAGATAATTTGATCACAATATCGATGAAAAAGGAGGCCCTGCAAAAATATGGGGCCGTTTGTTCTATATAACATCGTTATTTAAAAAAGTTGGGGATGGAAACGACTCAATATTTTTTAAGGCCATCTTTTTTATCGATTTCGTGATCATTTTATTTTTGTTATTTACGAGTTTTTAGTACGTAATTAAATGGACAACGTTTGCCCCTCTCCAAATTGAAAATGCCTGAATTCCAAGAATTTTTTGTAAATAAAATAGTTGTAGGTTACGATGAGATGAAACTATTTACTAAGTTTCAGGCGGATGTTAATAATTTAAATCAGAGGTAATATTTTCAAGGAATATAGCAAATATCAGCAAACCTATAACCTATACAGCGCCCCAATTCCAAGAGTTTTTGTAAATAAAACAGTTGTAAGTTGCGATGAGATGAAGCTATTCACGTAATTCGTACCGCGAACTATTAACTATCGGTAAAATTGGTGAATAAATTTACTTTAAAATATACTAGAAAAAGACAGTTTATATTGGGCTGGCGGAGATTTAGTCATGGGGTGAAGTACTTAACATGCTTTTTCAAAATTAAAAAAATATTACTGTCAACACTTTTTGTGCTTGTATGCTGTTAAACTTTAAATCCGGTAAATAATATACTACAAAATAATACAAATCTAAGTGAATGTACGTCAGTGGAACAAGTTTTGGATGGAAATATAATAAAATGGAAAAGGGTCAAGAATGCAAACTAATAAATTAAGGTTTTTGTTTATTTTACTCAAAGCGAAGATGTATGAAATAATATGTGTATTTTTTTTCCCTTGGTATATTAAATATTTTATACTACCAAGATGTATCTGTTTCATCTATCTTATAAAGCTGCAAATAATAAGGTCAAAGGGGAAAGAAATATTTTATGTACTGAGCACACTAATACATATCATTTATCATTTAAATCTTTGAAAAAAAAAATCCTTTGGTAAAAAGAAAAAAAAAATGACAGTATGAGTTTGGTACTAATTTTACCCAGCCAAGTTTTATTAAAGAAGAAAAATGATAGTTCATAACCTTCAAACTTTCTTAATAACAGAGAGTAATCCATTTTTTCCTCATTTTCAATTTTCAAAACGAAAATTAACCGATCCTTTTTCCTAGCCATAATTAAAAAAAAAGTTAATTTCTTGTTATAAACTTAGTCATAACTTGGTAACGTTAACATATAATTATATTTATTGAATATGAAACGTTTATTAGCTTGTTACATTTTCAATGGAGTCGTGGAAACTCTGTTATAATATTTTCGCTTGTTCGTTTGTTTCTGAGAAGCTTAATTCTCTAAAATCATTTATAATGGTACTTGGAAATTAATATTTGTAACAAATTCTTACATAATGAGCCTACATACATAATTATGCAAAAATATGTAAATACCAGCTGTTATTGTACAGGCAGTTATATTGTCAGTTAAAAGTTGTTATGTTTGTTAACACATAAATAATAACGTGTAATTTAATTAATTCTTACAGGTTTGTTTTCGGAAATTTCATATACGTGTTCATAATATCTTTTACCGCAATAATGTGTACAAATATTTTCGATCCGTTTGTCCCTTTCATTATTTGTCCTTTTCTTAATTACTCAATACTTGTATTGTAATTTTTAATTTGGTTTATCAACAACTGATTTTATTAATCTGTAAGAATTTCAATGGTAATAGATAACAAAATACATTAATAAGAACAATATAAATAAACGAAAACAAACCTGTAAGTAAATTTAATTACACGTCATTATTTATGCGTTAACAAACACAATTTGTAACCCCCAAAATAACATACTGTCCAATACAGTCAGTAAGTCCAATATAGTAATTATTAATGCATTTTGTTATCTAATACCATTGAAATTCTTACAGATTAATAAAATCAGTTTATTATAAACGAAGTTAAAAATATTTTTCTATGAGGTCTTCTTTGATCTCTCATATCAACTATCGTACAGCCCATTATCTTTTTATATAACAATTTTTAAAGATGTATCACTGATTATAATGTTTTCAATATACTGTCATGTATTTCCTCTACATACTCTATTTATACATATTTCAAGTTAAGCAACATAATTTTTATTAATTTATAGTTAAAAATGTTTTCATATCTTCTTATTTTCTTTTTAATATGTTTTGTTTGATCTTTCCTTTCTTCATACCTGATGAAATCCTGAGGCTGAGGCCGAAACGTTGACACAAAAGAATATAATTTTACACTTTGACTGAAACTCCGAACCAACTTCATAACCCCATTATTCTACAGTAAACTAGTTTTCCTTTATGTTATATATCTCTTGGCTTCAGTTAACAAAAATTAAATTGTAAGAAGTGTTTGAATAATGTTTCTTTCTGTTTGTTCAATAAATTTTCAAGGCCTAATACTTATCTTTATGTATTTTAATTTTATTTTTCTCTATTTTCGAATTTCAACTATAATTACGCTTGAGAAGATTTTTTTGTTGAACCAATAACATATTATTTTATAGTGCTAGTTTATTAATCTAGCCTACTTTGTATATTTTAACATCTAAACCAATGCCTTTCTGTTAAAACTTTTGTTATATTATTTATTCATTTGTATTTATACAGGTTATATTTTTTGTTTCTCTGTGTACCAATATGAGTATGTATGTGTATACAATTCTTTTTTTTCCTTTGCACAACAAGTAATCCTGAGATTTTATTTCTCTTAGTGTTTGCACATTACTATATGAATCACTGTAGATATTGTTATTTTTTTAATTACTTACCCAATTGTATATAAATTGTATATGTATAGAAATAATTATTTATTTTTCATCAAAATAACAAGCAATTTTGAGAAGATCATATGTTTATTTAATTTAATTTTTTTTGTTTTTAGTGGTTACATACTATTTTTCAAATAATGCATATAATATTAGAATTTTTATAAGTCTGCTTTTGGCCAGCTTTGTATTTTCTTTTATAATTATTCATCATTGTTATTCTAAGGGGACTTAGTCCCAATATAAAGTTCAATTTTCTATTCTATTCTATTCTATTCTATCTTTAGCTTATTTTATTTTTTATTGTGCATAGTTGTTTGATTATTATTTAGTTGTTATTTTAATTTTGTAAATTTTATGTTTTTTGTATATATGGTGTGAATGTGTTCATATCTCACTATAATTATTCCACGTGAAAGATTATTATATTTCTAAATAAATAACATAAAAAATAAATGTTTAAAAAATTATAATTTGGAATATTTGTGTACCATTAATACGAATTTATTGTTCTCATGTGCTCTTAAATATTGTATTGTTGGATAAAATTGGTATACACTCATTTTTCTTTTTGCTTCTTATGTAAATAGTGAGTCAATGTAATATTGTGAAGTAAAATTGGTACAGAACCATCTGTCGTTTCTAATGGAGATAATGTACTGTCCCAATTTTATCTCAATCGATGGGGTAAGATTAGAACAATATATAATTTTTTTTTAGTAAAATACTCTTGTTTCTTGAGTTAATGTTCTGCCATATTTTGTAACAATAAGACTGGTCTTACATATCAATAATATTTTCAGCATTTTAACTTTGATAATAAAGATAGAAGCAACTTTAAACTTTGAACTTTGTCCCAAAGCTGTCCCATCCTATAGTTATATATATTCACTTTATTCTATTTTTTTCCTCTCCTAGTCTTTTATTGTTGATAAAATCACTTAAACATCTAAGGGAACACATGTATATCATTTTTTTTTACGATTTATTTCTTTATATATCAACAGATTTTTTTTTTTATTCCTTCACTACAATGCTTTGCCTATAAAACTGATTTTGCGTTCCTTTATAATTTCATTTAGTGATTATTATGCTATTGTTTTAGCTCCAATATTGTAGTATTGAACCGCTATTACCCAACTGTTCATGTATTTTGTTATTATTCATTGTAATAGGTCTTTTGGCCAAATTTATTGTTAATTTAGATGAACAATACTGTTATTTTAAAGGGATCTAATCCCAGAATAAAGATGATTTTTCTATTCTATTCTATTCTATAGTAATGATGAATTTAAAATAGAAAGCCTTTTTTTTCAATTAATAATGTTCCAATTTATATTCCACAGATGCTGACGGCTATGCTGTTAACTATACTTCTGATTTGGCTATTCATGCGACCGCTGTACTGGAGAAACCGTGGAGTGAACTCCAGACTTCCATGGCCTCTGGTGGGCAACTGTTGGTCTGCATTTTACCTGAGCACTGTCCAGTTTTGGGAACGAGTATACCATTCTTCGGTCGAACCATACATCGGGATCTTCTTCTTCACGAGGACAGCTCTTGTCCTGAGAGATCCACAGGTAAAAACGCAATTACTAATAAATGATTAGTCAAAATTACCAATATTTGAGGTATATTATTATTATCATACTTATAAATAGATTATATAATAAATTTTATTAGTTTAGAAAGCGGTTTTAATATATTTAAAAATGACATTTGATAAAAACCTTATTAAACGATTTTGAAGTTATTTATAAAAAAAGTTTCGTTTCACTTATCAATTTTTATTTAATATTTGATAGTTGACCGTGGAATATTATCAACATAGGAGGTGGTCCGGGGTGGCAGTCATAAAACAATTAAAATAATGAAAAAACAAATTTCATTTCAAGCCAACGTTTCGACCGAAACTACATACTTCCGAAGAAGACCTGCAAATTCGAGCCGAAACGTTGGCTTTAATTTTTTTTATTCATTTAGGCATATAATAATATTTCTTGTGGACAACAATTATAGTGATATATCAACACATTCACACCATACATAGAGAAAATATAAAATTAACAAAAGTAAAATAATAACTAAATAATGATAAAAAAATCTGTGTACACTAAAAAATAAAATAACCTCAAGATAAGTAAATTAAAAACACAGTCATACCTATATACAATATATACAATCAAGCAGGAAACCCCAAGCCAGGCTTCTCCTTCCAACTATAGGGGGAAAAGCAGGACTCTAAGAGATCCCTGTGCTACTCTCTCAACCGCATCACTGGTGCTAACGCCAGTGGAGCTTGTAGGCTTTAAATAAAATAGTTTTTTTTACTATAACCGCCACCCCGGACCATCTCCTTACTCAGTAGTAATTTTAAATTTGTTAGACTAAAAAGGTTTATTTTGGCTTTCTTCAAAAGACCTGATGATTCAATATTAGCTAATACAACCTTAGGACACTTTCAGCGTTATTTTAAGAAGCCAAAAATGCTCAAAATCAACCGATTCTTTTCACAGAGCAGATCCATCAGACTATCACAAGCTTTTGTATATGTATATATATATTATTGCTACTGGGCTTATATACTTTTACCTGCTTAATTGATTTGATCGGCAGCTTTGGTGAGCAAATAAAACCGTTAACAAAAGGAGAAAAAAATGTACCAATAAAATTGTATTGACATTAAGATAACTAGGTTAGATAAAATATAACAAGTGTTGCATGTTTGTGGGATATCTAAAGATGTAAAGGTGTTATTGGGTAATGCTATGTTCTGTAGCATTAGGAATTTGGATGGAATTGATAACTATTCAACGATATGTACGTTATTGAAAAAATAATTTATAAATGGTATTTTTAGTCTTGAAACTACGGAAATTTTAGAATGTTCTGTGTTTTACTATTTTGGCATATTTACATTACCTGTATTTGGCTTAAAAGTATAACTTATAATGGGAGAAAGTGGCAGGTATAAGTGAGTACATTGGAGGAAACTTTAATATATTAATTAAACAATAAAAAATAAGACACGGATAATTCAGATGCGATGATTTGAGACTTTTGGTACCATAAACTACATCAACATGATTTTTTTAATTATTTGTAGCGCTAGCTTAGATGTGACACTGAACAGATAGAACGTTGGTGGAGTTGAAGGTGCATTAGACGGAAGGTTCTGGACGTCTCATGATATATTTGTTAAGTTATTCCCTAATGTAGTAGTCTGATCTCGTTTCAGATAAAGTCCATCAAGTCCTATTTGGTTCATACCCAGTACGTTTTCCTTACCTTTTCCAGGGCGGAATAAAGGTTTGATTGTTCGCTTACCAGACTATATGGAAGCGGTGTTTTTTTTCCTTATTTTATTCTTGTTATTCCTTCATTCATGGATTCACCAAATTTCTTATGATTGGCCCTGCCTGCCTGTGGTAGAAGTATGAAGCCAGTTATCCAATACCCGATTCTTCTCCGAGAATGATTAACAAAGAGATATTAAATCACTTAGTCCATCTCAGGTATTTGTTCCGTTACTGTCAATTATTTTAATTGCTTCCCTTTCATTTTAAGCCTTTTCGTATATACGGTATTTTATGGGCTAGAGGAGAAGAGGGAGAATCAATGCTAGAGTTAAAATCCCCCTTGCCATCGGGACGCGAACTTGTTATTATTTTATTATGCAATTTATTTTATCAGTTTGCCGGTCAATATGCGTTTCGCACACGAAATAGCTGCCACTCCATCTCCACCCACTTTATTTAAACTGACCGATGACGGTTAACTTTATGACTTCTTCTCTGGTGAAAACTAACAATAAGATGTTTCCTAAAAGTATTTAAATATCCTTGATCTGAAATAGAATTTTGAAGTAAATCTATGAAGGTTTGTTGAACTGCGATATCCTAGGTGTCCTTTCTGTTATACACTTATAGACCTATGTCACTTTCAGCTTTTTTTTTTTTTTTTTTTTTTTGTGGGTTCTCCCCTTCCCGCCTATAAAGCTATACGGCGTTTAAAAAACTCTTCCGGCACCGGGACGCGAACTCGTGTCTGTTTTTTTTTTTTTAATTTGTCATAATATATCAGGTAGCTGGGCAACGGCAGTGCGGTGCACACGCATTAGCCCATTCGGCCACTCCGCTTACATGTCACTTTCAGATTGATCCAATTTATCCAATCATCGACGGTAGAAGATTCTATTCAACAATACCTAATGATTTCATCACCTCCTTCCACTCCTCTGATTATCCCCAAAAAGGAAAAAGTTTCACATTTTACAGACCCACATTTTTCTAACTAACTCATCAAAATTTATTGACACACATCATTATTGATCCCTTCATGGTCATATTACCTGGTGTGTATAATTTCATTAATGGAGTAGATGTAGTAGATTGAGATACAATTTCCGTTTGAAGTAAACATTTTCGAATTTAGTACTAATATTAAAATTATCACGGGCCTCTTTATCCTGCAATTAATCGACCTAAAACTCCCACTCTACGTTAGAAAATTATCTTATATTTAGTGTTTACGGAGTTACTAAGTATTGTATCTAGTAACATCGAATTATTTTTATTACCTATCTTGGAAACAGAACCTAGTAAAAAAAAAAAAAAAAATCCTTTAAACGATTTTTAATAAAAAAATCAGGTAATAACTGTAATGCTGCAGATATTCGCCAGTATTGAACCCATACTAAAATTTTACTTCTAGATTAAAAAGTAAGAAGTTGTTGTTAATCTTTTAAAAAATGTGGTAAAGCTATATTGGATTTATTTGATTCCATATGGCTCATCCAATTTTTTTTTATTATTACTTGAGCATACTTTACATCCCATGAAGCATTAGTTGTTCATTATTAAATTAAGTTATAAATTGTAATATTTTCACTCTGTTTATGATTTGAAATCTGCTTAGATAATCACAGAAGTGCTTGAAAAGAAAGCTCCACTCTTCAACAGCCACGGGATGTACATCAACCGCCGCGATCCGATGGGGAAGAGTCTCTTTCACCTCAACGGCAGCGATTGGAAGGAGGCCAGGTCCAAGCTCAGCACATACTTCAGCCCGGTGAAGGTGAGTGCTACTCAAGTAGAGGCCCTGGTGGCCGAAAGTGTTAAGGCTTCACCTTAGCGCCTTCTTATTCTTGATTTTTTAGAAAATCCGAAATAAATATTTTAGAAAAAAATACGAAGAACTTTTTAGCAGTTGTTTAAGATTTCCGTAAGGTCGTTCGATCGTTATTATCAAAAACATATTTTGATCCTGTTATGGGATATAAATAATTAAAGAAATAAAAAATAAAAGTATTACAACTAAGAGGGTAAAATTATTTCAATGATAACACGGAGAGAAGAGGTAGTTCTTACCCGCCTCAGGATTGGCTATTGCCGACTTACCCATGGATATCTGATGAAGAAGGAAGAACCGCCAACATTCTCCAACTGTGGATAAACAGTCCTTCACATACTAACAGAGTGCATGACTCACGACTCCTACAGATTTTCCACAGACCTAGAACAAATATTGAGACGAAATCCATAAACGACTTCATGACTCATTAAATTTTTAAATACTATCGACATATATGATAAAATTAAAAAAAAAAATAACTGCAAGTGACTAAAGAGACTTCAGTGTAAATGAACCCAGTGGTCGAAACACTTAAATAAATAAAATAAATAGTAAAGTAAAAAGGGAATAAATTAATTGTCATAGTCGGATGGACTAGTTGAATAATCAGCTTTAAGTGTAAATATTTTGATACTTTAGTATCTTCACAAATTTGTTGAAAATATTTTTGGGAAATTTTCGATCCAAAGCAACCTCTTTTAACTAGAACATTTTTTTTTTTTCGATCTTTTTTCGTTTCCTTTTGAAGTTGTTACTTTCGTAAAAGCCTATCAGGAGACGACTAAAGAGCATTTGGATGAGAGATCTCCTTTTCTGAATTAAGGAAATAAACCAAGACCAGGAAGAAGTGCTGCTGGGTACTATTTTTTCCTCATGCCTAAAATGTCAATCTTCCTTATTAGTTACAGCACATCTGCTTATTGTCAAGCTCATGACAGGTGTGGATGAAAATATGAAGACAAAAAAAAAGTCATATATATATATATATATATATATATATATATATCCATATATATATAACAGCCGTCATGCCTCTTCACTGTCAACCTTCAAATACCTCCTTTTCCAATATCTCCTCACATCCCAAACAGACGATTCGCAACCATAAATTTCATTTTATGAACTGAATTTGTGAGAAGTAAATGATGGTGCCTACAGTTTAAGTTTTAACATAAAACAGCAATGATTTTTTACTATTATTTTTACTATTTATTTGTATTTCTCTTCACCTCAGGTTGTGCTTTTTCTTTCATGTATATATAAGTTTATATTTTATACTTTTTGTCTCACTGTGTAGCAATATGAGTAAGTACGTATATATAGTTCCTTTTTTACCTTTATACCACAATTATTCCTGAGATTTTATTTTTTCTTAGTGTTTGCTTATAATTTTATGAATCACTGTAAATATTATTACATTTTGTATTAAATTATGTTTCTATTAGATAGCTATTATTTATAAATTGTGCAGTTATGTATATATAGATATGTAATTTCTTTTCTGTATTTTTTTTTCTTATTTTTTTATCGTAATAATAAGTAAATTTGGAGAAGATTGTATGTTCATTTATGTATGTATGTATGTGTATGTATGTATATATATGTTTATGTGTGTGTATGTATATTACATGTGCGTGTGTTTATATATGTGTATATATTTTTTTGTTTTGTTTATTTCTTAGTGGTTACATACTACTTTTTAAATAATATATATTACTTTAGAATTTTTTAAGTTAGTTTTTGGCCAGATTGGTATTTTATTTTGTATTAATTCATCTATGTTATTCTAAGAGGACTTAGTCCCAGAATAAAGTTCTATTTTCTATTCTATATATATATTATATATATATATTTCCTGAGAGTAATATTGGAAAAGGCCCTACATTTCATATTGGCCATCAGGCGAGTTAATCATAATATTGTTACTAAAAAGAGTCACTAACATCAGTAGTATGAAATAAAATTGAAATTTGAAGAAGAGAAGTGATATGTAATTAAATAAAAAAACTAGCTATAAAAATTTAAAGCATTAATAAATATGTATAATGGCTGATTTCTGTTTGTTCAGATGAATAAAAGTAAACCAGTATTTATTTATACACAACTAGATGTATTTCTCACATTTTGTTGCGAGTTTATGTTGCTTAACCTCACTGTGCTACTAGCAAACAATTAAGAAGATATCACAGTGAGAAAGTAATGAAATAGAATAAGATAAATGTACCAGTTTTCAACTCTTTGACAGATAATAAACTTTATAAACCAAATAGACAGTGCAAATATCAGTATATCTTCAGTTGAATAATAATTTATTATTCTTAAGAGATAATAATTTAAGTGATTTAATGAGACAAAAGCCGATTGGCAGTTTCTTTTTTAATAAAACAATATTGTAGTTTATTTGCAGAAGATTTATTTATTACATTTTTTTTTTAGAGAAGCTGAAATTTTTACTTATTTGTCTATGGTTTCCTATTTCTTAGGTTAAAAGTGTGGACAATTTGGCAAAATATAGTAAGAATCCAATTACTCCAAAAACGTGGGTGTCTATTATACCCCGCAGTAAATACGCAGTCGGAATTCCTTCAGTTTTTCATGATTAGTTAACTAATTGAGTGATTATAAAAAAAAATTCATTAAGCGACTAAATTTACTTTTAATTAAATCCATTCGCAAAGATCCACCTTCAGAACTGAAGCTGTGGTTCAAATTAATATTGAAAATTTCTTTTAAAGTATATAAGTAAGACTTGTTAACAGCATTTATTCTCTTAAAACAATTATTCTTTATTGTATTATGACGTTTCGAGGTCTACGTTCATATCCCATTTTCAGACAGTATCTTTATCATATATCCTCTTATTTTTTATAAGATTTGTCATAATTATTTATTTTAATTTTTTGTTGCCATATTGCATTACTTGAAATTATTATGTTGTCTACTCTAGGAAGTATTAGAAATCTTATAATCTTATAATCCCCAATATGGGGAAAAAGGTTGAAGATACTATCTGAAGATGGGATATGAATGTAGATCTCGAAACGTCATAATAAAATAAAGAAAAATTGTTTTGGGAGAATAAATACTGTTACCAAATCTTACTTGAATACCTCAGAAAATAAGTATCTCCTTTAGGACTATTGAACATTTTTTTAAAGTGTCTATTATCGGTACAAATATCAATGAAGTTAAACATCAATAATATAAAGTTTGATAGTGATATTAACTAAGTGTAGCAAGCTATCGAAAAAAGGTTTCGTGGGACTGTTATTTATTTTTTTTTTTTATGGTCGCTTGATCTCACTGTTTCGTTATTTCTATTACCTGCCTTTGACAACATGTTCGTTCCTACCAAATTCCATGAATAAAACAAATTAAAAACATCTTTGCCTGGTATCGTTTCCCTTGAAGGAATAAATAATATTCGGATGGTTTTCAAATTTACATAAGGTTACGATATTGAATCCAATAAAGTTGGAATCGATCTGATCTATAATTGCTCGAAACAGGCAAGAATAGAAATCTCGCATGTCAATGGCCAATCCGGGTTCAATTATCTCAGGTACACTGATAACTTGCTATTAATACCGGGGCCAATTAGTCTATTTCCGGAAAGGCCAATTTCATTAAGGGTCCCTCAACTTAACGCCCTCGATAAAAAAAGGGGTCATACTTATACAATCCACATACTCCGCCTTACCTGGGAATGCGATGGATTGGACGGAATTATTCAATCGAAATCTCCAGGGAATCATGATGCTCTAAGCTATATGCATTAACTTTTAGCCTCGCAAAGGGGTTCGGTTTTATCTTTCCCCCACTGGAGTGTGGAAAATAGTCGTTCCCCACCAAAGTTCTAAGATAGTTTCAGTTGTATATTGGAATAAGTGAGTGTTTCCTATGCTTTTGAGAATGGTGTCCCACAATACAACCGTCGCAGATTCCTTCAAACGTAAGCAAATTTTTAATTTTATTAAAAACGTTAAATGGCCTATTATTAGTTTGTTAATACTATCAGCTAATAACAAATTACTAATTCTGACAATTCTGAAATCCAAGACATACGGACTAGAATTGTGGGGGAAAGGTAAATTTTCTAGAATCAAACGTATCCAATCCAGTCCATCTAGACGTTTTTTTGTTCTTTCTTCCTCGCCTTTTAGGCTATACGGAGTTTTCCCGGGCCAGGAGGTGAGGGCGGGGATTAATTCCACGTGAATTCTGACTTATTTTATTTTATTCCATATAATTTCGGTTATCAGGTAACCGGGCAACGCGCTTTAGCCCAAACAGACCTTCGAAAATAATAAATGCTCCATTTTATGTAGCTAACGAAACTCTAAACCATGATCTTAACATTCAATTTTATCTTGACCTTGTCCCGAAGAAATTCTCCAAATTTCACCACGGCAAATCCCCAACCACAATCCCTAATCACCACACCCACCATCATTATAATTCTCTTCAGAGTTCGAAACGGTAGTGACCCCGCGAGCTTTTGTAATATGTATATATTCGATTTCTTCCAATGACCAGATTCTCCACCTTTTTAAATTTATTTTTTTGTTAGGTCTCTCCATAGCCTTACAGGTTATAGAAATACAGAGGATGAGGGCGGGGGATTAATACTAGAGTTGACTGACTGTTAACAGATATATTATGGGTAAATTAATTTATTTTATATATGTTACTATATACAATGTTAGTTAATATATATTTTAAAATCTGTGTTTTCAATATACTAAAAAGATTCAAATAATAATTATCTGTTGTTTAATTAGTAATTAACAGAGAAAATTATGGATTATTGCGAAAAACTAAAAAAAAAATAAATTATCAGCCTAAAAAGCTGGTATTTCTAGCTAAGGGAAAGCAATTGCAATATATACATTTAATTGAATTGAAAGAGTTTATTTTGATCCTATAAACTCTTGATAAATCTCTTTGAAACGTTGGAAGGAACACTAGTCCCTTCAATGAATTAAAATAGTGTTTATTTTAGTTGAAAAGGAAACAGATCCTTTACCCTTATATTGATAATTTATATTTTAGGTAAAATCTATGTCAGAAATAGCGGAAGGAAGCGCTGAGAGATTGCTGAACCACTTGGGAGATCAGCCAGGAATTGATGTAGAAATTCACTCGGCAGCGATGAAGTTGAGTATAGATGTTACAGCGGCAGCACTATTCGGCTTGGAATCTAATGTATTCCAAGAAGGTGATGATTCAGAATATTTCATCGCTTCAAAGGATCTCAACAGTCCGTTATCAATGCTGAAGGTATCATTTTAAATAATACTTTTTGCTCTTTTTTCATTCACTGTGTCAAAGCTAATTAATTATTTCATTTACAATTGTTTTTAATAATGAAAATTTCTGATTCCTGGGGAAAGGATCTTAAAAAGGTAATATTAAAAACTTTACAAAACGATCAAAATTCTCTTCATCTACTTATTAAATGTGCTACCAAAAGTTGAATCATGAAAAGATTTTATCTTTCCTAATATTTATTATATTTCTGGGCCTTGGTTTTGCTGATAACATTGCACCAGTCCTCCCTGCACAAGGCTCTCCTCCTCCAGTATCTTATACCCAGATTTTCAAGGTATCATCCGCATCTTAAATCCAACGTTTCCGAAGTTCCATTCCAAGTAGAATTCTTCTTTTTTTCATTCTCAATTCATTCATCCGTGCTACGTAATCCAACTATTCGATTCTCCTTGCTGGTATGAAGCGAACAATGTCACAAGATCCATATAACTCATATAATTCGCTGTTCTTCCAGATTCTCCATTCACCCTTGACCAACACATGTCTATAAATGTTACAGAGAATTTTCCTCCAGAAGATTTTTAAAGCATTAATTGTGTAGGTGCAAAGGATTCAAGTTTTCGCAGAATATGTCACTACTGGTCTTACTAATGTTTTATACAACCTTATTTTTTTCGTTTCGTGACAACAGCGATGACCGGAAGAGTTTAATGTTTGCGAAGTAATCCCGGTTACCTGCCATAATCCGTCTATTCACTTCTGCAGATATTCCATTTTTGCAATTAAGCTCTACACCAAAATAGGAGAAGGATTTAACGTTTTCGAAAGAAAAACTTCAATGTTTTTTCCCTTTTTCTTCTTCTTCTTAAGTTCTTGAATTACTGCCTGAACTTACAAACATGTACTTGGTTTTCCTTTCATTGGCTCCTAAACCAAACACTTCACCTTACGTCTTCAACAGCATGAATAAATCGATAAGAGATTATAATTAATAAAAATGGTTATTTTATAAGATATTTGTCGATATATATATAAATTCGCGGTCATGGAATTTACATCACCTAGTTAGTATACATTTTATTGTAGTTACCATACTTTAATTATTTCAGTTCCTCAAAATAATAGAAAAAGAGAAATATAAATTATTTTATAGCTCTTTTATTAAATTTGAACTTGTTAGAAATTTTATTGTTTTCTCATTTCTATCTTTGTCGCTTCATAAGACCAGTGATATATTTTACGATATTTCTATCGTATTTTCTAAAGTTATTTAATTTACGACTATAAAATGGACAATCTTGGAAAATGTGAGTTATGGACAGGACACTATTGGAATACTGGCATCTAATTCCCAGTTAATTCTTTCCAATTGCTTTCTTTCACTCCATGTTGTCTTTTTTTTTTTTTTTTTTTTTTCAAAACTATGACTACCGATGATTTGTGGTACCATATCTTCGTTACTATTTCTCGCGAAAATTCCTTAACTTCTTGTAACGTCACAATTTTAATGTTTTTTTTTTTTACGAGAACTGTTTCAGAAACAGGTTATAATTACGGCTTATATCGTGGCATTAGTTAAAACTGAACTGAGAAATATTTTTTAAAGTTTTATGTTAACCTCAGTAAGTGAAGTAATACATTCAACGAAATCAACGTTATCAATAAAAGAATAAATAGAAATTAATTAGCATATTTAATGTTAGAAGATTCATTGATATTTTTTTCTTTTTATTTCCTTTTCTCATATAGTAACCCTGCACAAAGGCTGTACATTGTTTATTTTACATGTCCCATGCATTAAGCATATACATGTATTGAATTAAAAGAATTATTACAGTTAATGAAGAGAAAAATGGTTGTTGTGATCAGTCAGAAATAAGAAGGCAAAAATAAATAATATTTATTTTGACATTTGCCGACGTTTTGACCTGAAGTTCAGGCCTTCCATGGCTAAGAAAAGAACCAGATAACCAGGTATGATAAAACATAAATAATGTAGGTAAAAAAAAAAAAGTAAAATGAAGTAGGTAGAATAATGACAATAGTAAAAACTAAGAGATAAATAATGAAGAGAATGATGAAGTAAACATAATCGAAAAAGGTGACATAAGTATTAAAATGGTAATCTTAGAATAAAATATAAAACAGAAAAAAGGAATATGAAGTTATATAAGATATGAAAATAAATAGTAAAATAAAAATATTGAAAATAGAAAAGTTAGATAGAGAATTGAGATATTGTAAAGTCTATCAAAATGTACTGGCAACGTATAATAGAATAAAGAGTAAAACAGAGAAAAGGAATGAAAGAAAGGAGGAAAAGAAGAGAAAAATGGAAAAAAAAGAAGGAAAAAACCAACCTTCGTCCATAGGTGACAGGAACAAAGTAAAGCTTTAGTGGCAAGGGAGGGGGAGAGATGTATGTTCTTTTCTTAGTCCTAATGAAGGCCTGAACTTCAGGTCGAAACGTCGGCAAATGTCAAAATAAATATTATTTATTTTTGCTTTCTTATTTCTGACTGATCACCCCAACCATTTTTCTCTTTATTAATAACGACAGTCAACCATTAACCCACATTTATTACAGTTATTAATACTTTTCAGTATTTTTTATATTTCTTCAAAACTGAATACTATACTGAATATTATTATATTATATTATTATTATATCACTATAATTATTGTCAACGTGACAGATTGTTATATTTCTAAATAAATAAATAAATAAAATAATTGAATACATATACTTACTTAATTAAACCCAAATGGAAATACTCACCACAAATATGCGGTACCGATAAAAAGATCAACCTACAAAAACTTCAAACCTTATAATAAAAATTATTGCGACTCATAACAAAATCACAATGGTACGTGACTAACAAAACTCTACATACTGACCTCCGCCTGCCAACAGTTGACTTACATAAAACGACATTTTACCAACGAATTTATAATAATTTAAATTTAAGAGACATCGCCACAACTGACACCCCAGAACATGAGGAGGAGAATAAAAAGGCGTTGGATGAGAGATCTCCTTCCTTAAACAACTTAAGCAATTGAAGCAAGTCAGGGAAGAGGTTCTACTGAGTAATTTCCTTCTCCATGCTTGACATGTCATTTCTATCTTGTATTTCCACAACATTTGCTGATTTTTAACAAAAGGTTGATAAGCGCAAATAAAATTTTCATAACAAAAAATAATTCTAGTTCTTATATAAATTATAAAGTACATGATTATATAATGTAAAGTTAGATTTTTCTATAATGAATCTCATAAAAAAAAAAAAAAAAAATTAAATATACATAAATGCATTGATATTTATTCACAAAATTTATAGCTTAAACCCAAAGCGGCTTCTTATGACTAAGTCATGCAGCGCTTAGGGAGAGAGGTGTAAGTGGAAAGGACTTGTTTATTATTCCCTTTGTGGTAGTGCCTCGGGAGCCGGTTTCAGATTTACACTATCAAACCCACAATTGTGGTTTAACCCTTCCATTCACCTTCCTACCCCATTCAACTTCCGCATGGCCGTACTAACAATACTGTACATTTGATGGGCCAATTGTTTGTATGTTACTCGTATGTTATCCTTCCAATGTTACTCGAATATCATTTTGACATATATATTTTTGTATCATCTATAATAATAATAATAAAAATATAATATTATATATATATATATATATATATATATATATATATATATATATATATATATATATATATATATATATATATATATATATATATATATATATAGTGTACCGTAAATAGAGGAAAATATTAAAAAGGTTGATAGTAGACATCAAGATATACAAAAAAGTTTATATAAATAATTGCCCAATTTCCAGCAGAAATCAAAGAGTTTTGTATTTTTTAAGCGAGTCACGTTGAACAGGAAGCGATAACTTAAAAAATATTTGATTTAAGTAACTAAACATTGCTCCATAGTATACTAGATAAAATCTATTTTAAATGAAGGTATCTAAATAAACTGTTAGGTTATGCTGAAGACATTGATATTGTTGCACGGTCCTTTGCAGCTCTCGAAGGTTCTCCTTTCTTGAATTGCAAAAAGCTGCAGCTAAGATATCCACATTAATGTGAATAAAACAAAATATATATACAAGAGAAGGAGAGAATCCCCAAAACCAAAGAATAAATCTAGGCATTTACACCTTTGAGAATGTCCGACAGTTCTCTTACTTGGGATCTCAAATTACGACGAAACATGAGACCATGCTTGAAATAAAGCGGAAAATAGCAGCTGCCAACCGATGCTATTTTGCCCTACTTGAGCAGATGAGAAGCTCACTACTTTGTAGACGAACGAAGCTGCAGCTCTATAAAATGCAAATCCGGCCAGTTCTTAGTCACGGTAGCCAAACATGGACCTTAGCCAAAAATGACGAAAAAGAACTTCTGGTCTTTGAAAGGTAAATCTTTAGAAGAATATTTGGCCCTGTAAAGGAGCGTCTCCAGTCACTCATTTACAGGGCCAAATATTCGAATATTATGATGAACCTAATGTGGCAAGAACAATAAAATTAGGAAGGTTAAGTTGTGCAGGACAAATAGCTCGGATGGAGAGGTCTGAAATCCCGATAAGAGTGCTTGAAGAACCATTACACTATACAAGGAGACCTAGCAGACCGAAATTGTGATGTCAGATGGTGTGACAGGTGAACGGAGAGATTGGATGAGAGTCAGGAATCGGAAAGAGGCCGCACAGAAAGAAATAGGCGGAAGCTCGTTGAGGAGGACCCACTAAGCTTTGTAGAGCCATTAAGATAGATAGATAGGTACCTAAATAACAAATTCTGTTTGTTACTTACTTAACTATCGACCAACACATACCAAATAGTTATTCCTGTTTCCTTAATAAGCTTTATGTACAACAGACCGTTAATAAAATGGCTGTTAGTTAAACATGATGACCTTGATAATTTGAAAACATTAATTTTAATTAGAAGTTCCTCAGGAATCAGTACTCGCTCCAATTTTATACACCATATACACAAACCACATTCCTATTACAGTAATTCTGACAAAACGTAAATATCCTACGCACGCCTCACAGATTTTACAAAATCATCTAACAAAACTAAACGATTGGTGGAAACTTTGGAAAATGTGACTCATTGAAGACAAATCAAAGCACGTTATTTCTACTTTACCACGTGAAACATGCCCTTCTATTTATCTTGACAATGCGGAAATTCCGTAAACATATACCTACAATACCTATACCTTGGACTGACACTCGAGAGAAGAATGACATGGAGCCCATATATCAGCAGAAAAAGAAAAACGTTAAACCTCAGACTACGACTATTATAATCACTTCTTTCAAGATTTTCAAAATTAAAATTAAAACAGAAACTAAACATCTACTATGCCAACAGTTAACGACCATGTACGGATACACTACAAAAAAAAATCAAAATAACTTAATATATATATATAGGTTATGGTTAGATGTAAGATTGTATAATAGTTAATCCTATCCAGGAGTTGTAAACAAACCATAATACTATATATATAGCATTACTGAGGGAATAAAGTCAGTCTTTATCGAGCAACCAAGCGTTTCATTTCGTATCCTTTCTTTCTTTTTTTTATTATTTCCTGTTCGGACAGTCGTAAGTTATATATATATATATATATAAGATATGGCCTCGATTAACATGCCTGAAAAATCCTTTGGAGGCTCAAAAGAAGCTGGATGAGAGATTATCTCAGCTAAAATAAACAGAACCTAAAATATACAGAATTCAAATTAAAAAGAGATCTCGCTCGGCACTCCTTTCCCTCACGCCGATCAAGCCACTATTGGTATTTTATTGACAGCAGAATCGCTACTTGTCAGTACTTCTGACAGGTGTGGATAAAAAGAAAGTTAAAAAAATAAAATTATGAACTTTTCTATATGTATTTTGTTATATATATCTTGTTATTTTTTTCATGAGGTTTTCAGGTATTTATAAACTTTGTGTCGCCTCGTCTCTTTGAACTATTTAAACTCAACTCGTTCTCCACTCGCACAAACGAATTTATAAGTAGCATGGTCCGTGGTGCTATGGAGGCATGTCTGGACGCTAAGAGTCTTCAGCAGCCACTAAACTTTATTCAAGGGATGGTCCAGTTAAAAGAAAAAGACAAAAGTGAGATCTCATTATTTTATTTATTTTTTCTTGAAATAACTGATTCTTTTATTTAACCATAAAAATATTATCGAAATATGTAATGTTTAAATACATAAATATTTTATAATTAGTTATTTTTTTCATTTGTGTATAAAACTAAATAGTATTGTGCTTTTCACTCCATAATTCTCCTAGGAAGAGGTGTAGATTAGGCTGTTGGGTTTGTATAAAATATCTAATAGGGAGAAAGTCTGGGTGAGGGGAGGGGGAGAATAACATCTGTCACAATTCTTAAATTCACGAATGAAGTTTTGATAATTTCTACGAACAACGTATCAGTCTTGTTTTGTAACGTTATAATATGGTAGAATAGAACATAAAATAAACATTATTCTGGAAACAAATCCCTTAGCATTACAGACAGGTCAAATATATTACTGTTAATTAACTACAAACTAAAGTTTAATGACCTCTTTAAGGCAGAAAAATATTGAATTTAAATTGATACTCTTGACATATTCGGTAAAACAATGTCTAATTTACCCGGACTTCTGCCGATAGACATGGACAAGTTCGCAGTATCTCAGGGAGCAGTCCTTTGGGTCGGTGGGGTGGAAACGACTGCGGCCACCCTAAGTTTCTGCCTCTACGAGTTGGCCCAGGACCCTTGCCTTCAAGAACAGCTTCGTGACCTGAGCTCACCAAGTACACCTCAACTGCTTCGTCAAGTCATTGCAGGTAAGCAACCATTACTTGACCATCTCTTTCAAATAAAATACTTACCTTACAGACCGTGAAAATTTTGGGCATGTATTTACCCCAATTTACTTGTATATATTTTCTTTTTTATTTAATCCCTAAACGTATAAGATATCGGCAAAAATATCCATCTACAGAAATTTAAAACAACTAATCAAAATTAAAATGTTATCACGTTTTAACGAAAGACGATGGATGAGAGATCTCCTTCTTTGAATAACCAAAGTAATTAAAAGCCAGGGAATGGATTACTGGATACTGTTCTTCCTCATGCCTAATATATCATTATTTTCAGTATTATCAGGTCATTTGCTGATTTATCTACATGTTTAAATTCAAACAAATACTAGGAACCATACTGCCACTGATGAAACGTACAGAAATAGCAACAATTGTTTCAGTAATTTATTAATGTATTAATAAATGAATCATAATAAATTACATAAAAATTTAATTAATGTATCCATTAATTTATTCTACGCTTAATTATATAGTTCATAATAAAATAGGATATTAATATAGATCGATAGATAGATAGAAAAAAAAACTTTATTCTGGGACTAAGTCCCTTCAGAATAACAATAATGTACAAAATAATAGAATATTACTGGCCTATACGTTTGAAACAATAAATAAAATTGATAAAATAAAATAAAAAGTAAAGAAAACCTTAGGTGCACAAGCTATATACAATACAGATAAAACTATGTACAGAGCATTTAAAATTATGAACAAAACAATTAAAATTATGAACGAATCACTTGAACTATGAACAAAATTATATATAAGGGTTGAACAACATAAACATACACTTTGAGAAATGAAGAACGAAAAAGAGATACAGTGAGTTCATTTCATATATGTATATATATCTTCTTTAAACCAATTGCCCCCCTTCATTCGTTAGGTTGGTAGACCAGCTCCTCTGTTCAGTAAAGCGGTAATGTATTGCCGCATAATGAAGGCGCTAATCATACAACCCTCAATATTGTTGCATTTCATATTTTTTAAATATATATTAATCCTTTTGTTTTAAGTTGAAAACGTAATTAGTCATTTTATAATATTAAAAATTCATTTCTAAGAAATATTTAATTTGGGTGTATTTTTATCCGATCGTCTTGTATTTAGTTAAACAGTTACCCACTTTTTTTTTTGGAAATAATTAAAATAAGAACAAATTTTCTTGATCAATACTTAAACACATAACAACCATGTTTTTGATCTGGAATAGAAATAATTTTCTGATTATGAGTATGTTTCCAAAAAGGTTACAAAAATGGTTGAATGTTTGAATATTTTTTTATTTAAATCTAAACTCTTCGAGCATTAAAAAAAATAACGAAATGAGATTTTTAAATTAAGTCAGTGTCTCTAAACTGATTCGGAATATAAACGTTTTACTAGTTTTTACATAGCGTTTTGTTAATTAATGTACCGTGTGTATAGTTAATCTCAGGAAATTGACTTCATGGTTTTCAGTTCGTAAATATTATATGAACCAATCGTTAGAAACTTGGTGATGAGCATAATTATAATACTATGTTATTAAATATTTTTGTGAAAACAAATAAATATTTTGTTACTCAAATGTTCATTTATTATAATATATGTTTTATTGAAGCTGTGAGTTTTATTATAAATTGAGAAAAATCCACGGAAATCCAGCTGACGGTATATCTCTGAGTATATATTTTATTTAAGTTTCTTTGCTAAATTAGTTAGTATTTCTTCATGACAACATTTTCTCAACTACATCTCAAGAAATCCCATATCGAGACAACCGACTCATCTAGAAGGTGCTAATCTAACCGCGCTTGAGCATGTTTGCCTTTCTGGTTAAGACGGCTAAGACCAGCTGTACTGCTTAAGTCCTCTTCTCAGAATACCACCTGACGACAATAACTTTACAGCCCTTTTAATAAATTCTCTGGTTACTTTATTGAATTAACATTCTAAAATGAAATGTTAGAAATGTAAAAACTTGTTATTATCAAATTTATATTTATATTAGTGAATTGAAATTTCATAGTAATGTAAAAAGAAATAGTTGAGTTAGTACTCATCCCAAAAGATACAGAATTTCACGGGAAAATAAGAAAATATTTAAGGGACATAGAAGTTTAAACAGAATCCTATATATTATTTCTAAAAGGTGTTTTTTTTTTTTGTCGGTACGCCATAACTTCGTAAATTATTCATCAAATCCAATGATTGACCACTCATTTTGAAGACATTCTTCTCCTTCACATGCGAAAAATAGTCCCATCCCATCTGAAATCAAAATCCATCTGAAATATCTGAAAAAAAAGTTATGAGGGAAAAGAAATTTTATTTGCGAATAACTCAAAAACTGTGTATTTTTTCCCATGATGAATTGAAACCATGATAATTAGTAAGATTACTAAATTACCTACAAAACAAAAAATTCGTAAAATTCGGACAATTATTACCAAATTAGTTTGGTCCATTAGTTTTGGTATAGTTAATGTCTTCCTGTTTAAAGATATTGCATTTAGGAGTAGAATAGTCTACTACACTTTTTTTCCTGGCTGATATATTAATTTTATTATTTCTTAAAGACATTTGGTTGTTCTTACATTTTATTTTTTTAAATTAATTTAGAAAATCCCATGATCGGGGAATTATTTTCCCTTTATTACTTTTATTATCTTCCCAGTCAGTGTTTAAAAATAGGTCCTAGAAAAGCAATTTGTACAAATATTTTGATCCATTATGTTAAATGCAATATTGTAATCGACCAAGGAAAAATATTAATTCTTTCCTCACATAATACATACGAACTACTTATTTCCATACAGTTTTGCTATTTTTTCAGTAAACAAAATTGTCTGCGAATTATTCGCATCAGTTCCCCACCCTCACCCACTGGCCCGGACAACCCCTGTATAGCCTAAAAGGCAAGGAAGGAAAGGATCAACAAAAAAAAAAAATTTGGATTTGAAAAGTTGTAGTATTTGTAGCTATTTTTCCTTAACATGAAATCTGCGGAACGCATGTACCTATGTGTTTAAGTAGGTGTATATGCATTTCGTTTTCGTCCTCTTTTCTCTTTTAAAAAAAAAATAGTAAACTATTTTCGGTCAATTGCGTAAATTTTTTATTTTCATTTTGACGTGTGGAGTTCTTATCATCAATCTGTCGAATATTAGTCCGGGACAACGCACTGTGTTCATCTGAGGAATTTGGTGCTCGCCGCTTTACTCCACAGTTTCGCTACTGTTTGGTATATTGTGTGTGTATATGGTGTATCAGTGGAGAAATAAAGTATGAAAAAAAAATAAAATAAAATAAAATAAAACAGCAGCGTCTTTAGACCACACGATAGAAGTGAAAATACCAACAAGGCGAGATTAATAATATAAAATATAACGTTTACAATATATACAATTATAATTGCGTATAAATTACTTTAGTAAACTTAACTTTGACTGATCGCCATTTGTATCATACTCTAAAAATGATGCAGTAGGCTTATGATAACTAAAATACCTAATCGAGTGCAACAGAAAATCGAATAGAAAGGTCTTATCTCTTCTGTTTATGGCTAATTAATATATATATATATATATATATATATATATATATATATATATATATATATATATATATATATATATATATATATATATATATATCGACTAACTTTCTGAATCCTATATGGTATTTTAGATTTCAGATATTTTAATCCAATCTTCAATAAAACTCGTTATCATTTGGTTTTCGATACTATCTATTTTCTTATTTCATAATAACTTACACGGACATACCAACTCATTGATTCGAAGCATGGCCACAACTAACATGCCCGAAAGCATTCGAAGGAGTCTTAAAAGAAGCTGGATGAGGGGTTTCCTCCACTAGCTATAAATATTAAATTCAAGACAGGAAGGATGCCGCTGGGCACTCCTCTCCATCACGCCTATTTCAAGACCTGTTAATCTTCTATATCTTGACACCGCACTAGCTGATTGTCGAAACTTCCGACAGGTGTGAGTTGAAAAAAAAATTAAGTTAATAAAAAAGTTATCTATTTTCGTATCTACACTATCTCTTTTCGTTAGGTTAAGATACAATTTTGAATAATAGCTCATTATAAAGATAATAAAATGCTGAACATACCCATGCTTACAGTATACACGTCTGATTTTTTTTGGGGAGTTTTGAGTTATTTTAATCCAGATCTTCAATAAGACTCGTTAAGATAAAATTTTGATTTATAGCTCATTACAAAGGGAATGAAGTGCTGAACATTTCCCTCGTACTTGACTTACAGTATGTGTAGCATATTCTAAATCTGATATTTTGTGTGTTTTAGGGGAGTGTAAATTGGTTCATATTTTCAATTGTAATTTAATTGTCTAAGTGATACTGTTTTAAAAAGAACATATGTTTTTATTAGATGAGATGTAAACAAGTTTTTTAATGTGTTAAAACATTTATTTTGAATTATATTTAAAAAATATAACAGAGGCGCTGATAGAAAAGAATATACATGCCTCGAAAAAGAAACGTAAACATCGTAGACATAAAAGATTTAACAGAGAAAAAAAGTGCTTCAATACAAAAATTTAATTTTCCATCGTTCGATTCAGAAGAAGAAGACTGGTAATATTACGAAGAACGATTTACGATTGAACTGCGAGTTCGCGGAGTCTCGTCACGTGAGAGTCAAAGGGATCTCTTACTGGCCAATATAAGACCCAAGTTGTTCAAAATACTTTTAGATTATCAGATTTAGGATATGCTACAGTATGCAATTCCGATTTTTAGTTTTTGATATATTTTACTCCATTTCCACAAAAAAAACACTTGAATGAGCGTTACACATCGGAGCCTAACGGCAAAAATATTTAAAACAGAAATGTTCGTTATAATATATATATTTTTGAATTTATATTAATTTTCATCAATTGATGTCCAAAACAAATCCTGTGGTAGATTGTGGTACAACATAA